AGATCAATGCTAGGGTCCCATGCCATAGAAAGAAAACCAAGCTAGCCAGCATTTAAAGGGAAAGTGAGCTATGTGACTAAATGGGCCTAAAGCTCATTTCGAACTGGGCTTAAGTCAGTTAATTAAAAGGGGGTGAATTCTGATTTATAATCTGATCAGGATTAGCTAAAGGATAAGATAAGTCTTATCCATTTAAGAATCCAGATCCAAATATCAAATTTGGATCAAGAAACTCTTTTCTAATTGGATTAGGAAGCTGATCCAAAGAAGGCTATAAATAGGGGCGAATTCACCAGTTTAAATACTCTCATCCCCTATCCAGTTCGATCTCCACTCTTAGATCTAATCAAGAATAGTTCTTGATATTGTTTCTTGTTAGAAGAAACAATCTAATGTCGTGCTCACCAGCCCCTTGCGTGATTCTTGTTGAAGAACCACTTCGTTGATCCTGTCTCATCATACGCTGTGTCATCTTCAGTGGAAGCGGGTTTTGGTCACCTCTTTGGGCGTGAACACCTACGTTGGGAATTACTATTATTCTGTATCAAGTACATCCCTACTTGCTTCCTTTTGGTTTCAAATTTGGTTCAGTTTGTTTCAAGAATGAACCTTGAAAATGCAGTTTTCTAAATTAGGGAATAGGATTCTCGGATGGAAGAATGAAACAATTTTTGCTTCCTTTTGGTTTCAAATTTGGTCCAATTTGTTTCAAGAATGAACCTTGAAAATGCAGTTTTCTAAATTAGGAAATAGGATTCTCGGATAGAAGAAAGAAACAATTTTGAAAATTTTCCCAGCCACCCTGCATGGTTCGTCCATCCATATGATGGATCTCCCATCCCTTTAGACTCTTCATGTAATCATAACAAGGTGAACAAAAGATCCTCTACCGAAAACAGAGAAAAGAAAAACAAGGAGATCAGGATGCCAAAAGAGAAACAAAATGATGACACAAATGCTCTTGCTGATACTGATAATCATATATCTGATGTGGAAATTCTGAATTCAATTGATGCTGAAAATCCTTTAGAAGTCAATCCTAGATCTGAAGATGAGAACAACATTGTCTCGATGGTTAATACCCCAGTTTCTTAGGAAGAACCTTAATTCAATGATCCTAATTCAATAATCATCTTTGGATTACCTCAATGATGCCGATGAATCCACTTTAGCACTTAAATGGATAGTATTTTGACCATGCCCCTCTAATTTATAAATTGAGTTCTAGCACTACCCTAATTCAATAATCATCTTTAGGCTGCATTTGGAAACATTGCAAATAAGTGTCAAAGTAAATATGTAGTGTAAAACAATCCATATAAATTGCAAAGTTGGGTTAGTTTTGCATTGACAAATTTACCTTCTTATCAAACAGACTTCTAACTATAATGGATGCGAACGTGAATTCCAATAAAGCATATGCCTTTTTTATCAAAAGCCCACTTGAATGCAAATTTGCTTATTTTTTATTGATGTACTTTTACATCTTATTATCAATGTAAATATGCATTGAAAAATGTATTTTCTGTTATTTGTCAATGCATAAATCTAATGTTGCCAAGCACAACCAAAAGTGAACCAGAGTGCAAATTTACCCTGAACTGGGATTTACACTCCATTTGCATCGTTTCCAAACGCAGCCTTAGGTCCAAACAGTTTTTCAGGGATTTTTTCACTCATTGTTGGGATATTGTAGTTTTAGATACCATTCAAGCAATACTATTCTTTTTTGATGAGGGTGATTTACCCTTGAGTTACACCTCAACATATATCTCCTTGATTCCCAAATCTCGAAGCCCCTCTAGATTTGAGGACTATAGGCCTATCAGTGTTTGCAACTTTACATATATAATTATATCCAAAGCTTTTTGTCATTAGATTAGCCCTGTTTCTCCCTTTTCATGTGTCTGGAACAAGATGCTTTTGTTAAAGGCCGAAGCATTATGGATAATATTGATCTTACTCAGGAATTATTCAAGGAGCTGGACCGTAAAGTTAGAGGGCACAATGTCATCATTAAGCTGGACATGATGAAAGCTGATGACCGATTAGATTGGGGCTTCCTCTTCAGTGTTCTGAAAAAAATTTGGTTTTTCTTCAACTTGGATTGATAGAATCCGTAAGGTAGTGGATAACTGCTGGTTTTCGATCAATATAAATGGAGGCTTGATTGGCTATTTTAAATCTTCTTGTGGGGTGAGACAAGGAGACCCTTTGTCTCAGTATTTATTTATTCTTGCTAAAGAGGTATTGAGCGGGGGTTTGAAAACATTATTATTTGAAAATCCAGACCTTTGTTATCATGTTCCTCAGGGTTGTGGAAGCACCTCATATTGCTTCTATGCAGAGCTGCAGACGATACAATCATATTTACATAGGTACAAGAAATGCTCTTAAAAAAATCGGGGGTCGGATAGTTCTAATCAAACACGTGTTATCATTCGATGAGACTTCACTTGGTTATGTTTGGTTTGAAGGAAAAAGTAAGGAAAGGAAAGGAAAGGCAAGAAAAYCTTTACAAACCTTGTATAGGTTTTGATATCTTTCCCTTCATTTCCCTACATTTTCCTTTAAACCAAACATAACCTTAATGATGGCTTTTGGCTTGCAGAAAGGTTTACTTCATAGATTGGAAAAGAAGTTTAGACATTTCCTATGGAGTGTGCCACTAATGGCTGCAAACATTGTTGGGTGAGCTGAAAAAAAGCTTACTGCACCATTAAAGAGGGTGGGTTTGGCTTTAAATCACTGACAGAATGGAACATTGTGTTTAGGATCAAGGCTCTTTGGAGGGCTCATACAGAAAAGGGTGCATGGCCGGCATACTTTAAAAGTAAGTTTCTTCACAACATTCATTACTATTTCATTGTTTTGGATAAAGGTTCAGCAACCTGGAAAGCCAATTGTAAAATTATCAATTGCAATGGCATATCAAATGCAGATCTCTATCATTCTGGCTTGATAAATGGGGTGGCTTGGGTCCTATCATTCAGTATATTGATGATATTGAATTGGAACCTAATCGGAAATATCCTAGGCAGTCAAATAGTCAAACAAATTGAGAGTATGGGGCTAAAACTTTCAGAATGGAATGATATTTGGCACTGGCTTTTCTTGCAAATCTGCATGGAATGCTATTCAGAGTGTAGAACCAAAGGTTGATTGGGCTAAATCTATCTAGAATCAGCGAATACTGAAGAAAATATCCTTTTTCGCTTGGAAAATTATTCAAGGTGGTATCCCAGCTTATTCGAATGTTCAAAGGTTGGGTGTTTAGTTAGCTTTGGCTTGTAATTTTAGTGGAATATACAGACCATGTTCTTGTGGAGGGCAAGCTTGCCTCAAAAGTTTAGAACCATTTTGCCACCTTACTTGAAGTACTCCTGGTACAACGTCACTCCTCTCAATCAAGACTCCGGCACTGGCTCGATCTACAGAAGTAGGGAATCTGGATTTCAACTCTCTTAATAGTAAATTATTGGTTCCACCGCTTTGCTATTCATCTCCAAGGTTTGGAAGGAAAAATGTAGGAGACGGATGGAAAATATTTCGTGCCTTGCTTCATCCATTATAATTATTATTAACTCTTAGTCCAAAGATCTGATTTGGTCCCCTCCCTGGAAAGCCCCTTCTATGTTAGGCATCTCCATCATCATTGGTTGCTATGGTTTCCACCTGTGAATGACAAAATCAAACTAAATGTAGATGATGTTTCCTGTGGCAATCCAGGTGAAAGTGCAGGTGGAGGAGTTTTTAGGAACCACTAGGGCTCCTTTATTTTCCAATTTTCTCATTATTATGGAATCGGTTCTATCATGGAGGCAGAGCCACAGACGATCTTGCATGTGGTAGGGGTGTCAATTGGACTGGATTTGGTCCAATCCGATCCAGTCCAATGTGAGTCCATTTCCAATCCAATCTAATGAATGTTTTGGATCAATTTGGACCGATCCAATTCAATGTCTAGACCATCCAATCTGTTCAAATTCATTTTGATTTAGATTGGTTTCAACCCAAACCCAATCCATTGGCACATATATTCTTATCTTATATCAATGGATCAGATATTGGATTAAATCCAATCCAATCCAATATGAATTTGTTATGGATGGATCAGGTCCAATCTAATCTAATAAATACTTTGAGCCAGATTGGTCCAATTCAATATATCTTGTTGGTTCGTCCAATCCATCTAATTTGATTTTGAACTGAACGGGGTCCAATCCAAAATGGGTCCATTGACACCCTTAGCATGTGGTAAATTATGCCAAGTGGTTTTTTGCTTGGGGAGAGGATGTAGGCCTGACTCAATTAAACCTCTATAAATCTCTTATGTGCTTTTTGGTCCTTTACAATAGTTTTGATTTCATTTGTTATATCTAGGTCACATTCATTTATAAGAGGCATTAGTTAGGGAGAAAAGTTTATAGAGCCCAAACTATATGATATTTGCTACCATAGGTTGGCTTAAAAAAAAAGCAAACTATATGACGTTGGCTACATGAAATCATGCATCCTATTTTGATTGCATGTTCTCTATAATGTCATCAATCCTTTAAACATGTATAATATATTACATATAATATTTTCATTTTGTATATAAAATATAGTATAGATATATTATGTCATAATGCCATATAATGTAAAAATATTGTACATATTAAATAGAATGTATTAATTAGGCCCAAATGCCCGGGCCAGGGTATAGCCCTTATCATCGGTGAAAAACCCGGTTCCCTTTTTAGATGAATTTTAGGTATTTGTGGACCGATCCACCACGAATACAACAAGTAACAAGCTAACTTCGTCACTTTGGATTACATTTCTCCTTTTACATTAATCAACAACGATGGTTCTATCCATCTTAGTTGATTATATACCATCCGGATCCTTGATTCCGTAAATACGGTTCAGATGCCCTCCAACTAGGGGCCCCATTTTCGCTCATACTATATATTTGAATAGGCATAAGAAGACAAGCCTTCGGTTCCTGACCGTTAGAAGAAGAAGAAGAAGAAGAAGAAAGAAGAAGAAAAAGAAAAACACCGGCCGTGTTCGCGGGAAGGACTGGTTGGTTGCAGGCGAAGACGAGTGCCGGTGGCCATGGAGATCTCTGCAAATTCTCTCTACATTTTGGCAACCCTTCATCTCTTCCTCCTCGTTTATCTTCCGTTCACGGCCGCCGACTCCAATGCAGATAATTCCACCTCGAGATCTGGATCCACCTCCTGCAACAACGAGTTCCAATCGGTAAGTGGTCGTGTTCTCCTCTTTTAGTTGGTTAGAAATTGTGATAATTGATGAACATATTGGAAATGGTCTCTTAATTGTTCCTGTTTTTGGCAAATATTGGTGTGCAGGGTTCCGGGTTTGATGTTATTTTTGTTAGTTTGCTTTCAAAATGACATCTTTCCCCAAGAAATTTGGTGTATATATGAAATTTATTCTGTATATTGGAATTTCTTCTGCATTGCGCAATTAGTGCCGGACATGTCCAAAATTGAGGCTTATTTTAAGCTTACAAAATGCTGAAAGCTGAATCTTGACAAATGAATTAAAATTTAAACAAGATGGGAAAACTACTTCTTCCTGGTAATTCTGTCTAATCATAACATAACCATCAGAATTCCAGAAATGGACAATTGTAAAGATCCGAGCATAAAATCATTTTAGTCTGGCAATGTGCCATGATCAACTGATCAAGTAGTCTAGCGTGTTAATGTCATGAAAATTCAAATGTTTCTTCAAACACCAAATGCGCCTATTGCCCCCCCTCCTCGATGTTTTTGTGCCGTTGAAGCTCTGCCCTTTCGAGATGTACAAGTTGATTTAAGCATTTAAACCTTGGAATTTTTACAACAATTTAAATGTTTCTATGTATTCGATGCTGAAGGCTTTGGTTACAAAATACTACCTGAGCTTTTTACTATTTAATCAATAGAGTAGACAGAAGAATTGAGGAGATTCATTCTAAAGTTTGAATTCTGTCCATTAACTTCCTTAGTTTTACACAAAACAGAATAGTTGTTTGTGCAACATTAATTGTTTTTGCATGGTCCTTCTGTATCTTTTATGGTATAACAGTTTATTTGACAATTAAGCTGCACTATCTTCTTGAGATGTTCTTGTTAGTTCATCTTAAGCTTATCTAGTGGTGCTTCAATGCTTTTTTACATTTTTATGTTTCCTTATGCTTTTTCCCTTTTTTTATTTTATATTATTATTTTAACTATAAAAGGATTTGATGTTTCTGAACATGAAAGTATGGAGCCATTGCACTTTAGCTTGTGCATATTTGTGTTATCCCATTTATAAGCTCATATAGATACATTACATAAATCTATTCATTATCTTGGTTATATGTCATTAAGATTCTTTGTTTCATCATCTTCTTCCTATTTAGACATCTACAGTGTTGATTTCTGAGTATCTCTGAACTCAATTGTCAGGTTTTAGTGAAGAACTGGGTCGATGGTGTTGAAGGTGAAAGCCTGGTTGGATTGAGTGCTAAATTTGGTGCAATATTACCACGTCAGAGACGCGATGCTCTAAAATTGCCTGTTGTTTTTGCAAATCCCCTGAGTTGCTGTTCAAGTTCCTCCTCTAAGGTCCTTCCTTGCAATCTTTATAAAACATGATCACAAAATATTGCTTAATTTTACTTTCAGGCAAGTAAAAGTTCCTTCAGAGATTTTTATGCACTTTCCATGTGTTTCCCTTAGAAAGCCACAATTCCCTCAAAGTTGAGGATTTTTTGGTATTGGACGCTTGTTAAACTTTCTTTTCGGTTCCTCATTCACTATTTCGCATGCATTTTTGTGTGTTCTTGGACTTGTTGTGTTTTATGGTGTGGTGATCTTATTATTTTGTTTATTCGTACTAGAAAACATTTATTAACTGTGGATAAAGGATCATTATGTATGATTCTGTGTAAAAGCACTCCAAATGTTAGATTGGCACAAGACCTATCTAACTTAACATTTAATCCATGTTATAAGTTACCCTAGAAAAGTTGTTCCCTGTTCATAATTCACCCCCTGCTTGCCAATGCATCAGTTATGCATTAGCTGATCTTTGGGTCAACATGAAGGATACAGGCATAGAATTCACCAAATGTTTGATCTTCCTCAATCTTAAACTGCCAGATCACTGTATATTCATTCTTCAATCATCCAATAACCACCTTAGAATCCCCTTCCACCAGGTTCAAGCAATTCGATGTCCTAGCCACTATTATGCCCTCTAAAGCAGCTAATATTTTTTCACTTATTAAAGCTCCAACTCCTATAGGTTTTGGGAATACTACTACAAAATTCCCTTGTCCATCTGTCACCACCCCTCCTATCCTTGAAGGCCCCTAATTTCCCAAACTTATTTTTTATCAGTAAAAAGATTTCATTAATAATTCATAAATTTAGTACAATCATTTACTCATTTCCCCATCTCAGATTACATCATATTACAATTTTGCCCAAAATAGAAGAGGCCTGTCAATGCCTTGTTTTGCCAACATATCTGCCATTCCATAGGCAGTCCTTATCCAGCTGAATGTAGCATTAAACCTTTTTTCTAGGATATAAATTTCCCTAAAAGCTTGTCTGTATTTCCAAGGGACTGAATTTATTTTCTTTGTCCAAGCAATGACCAATTGTGAGTCTCCTTCAATTTTCAGTTCCCTAATTCCAAGTTGTATAGCAAGCTTTGTTCCTTGTAGCAGAGCCCATATTTCAGCCTGAACTGAATCTCCAAAGCCAATTGGAACCAAATACAAGGCCACTACCTCTCCTTGCTTGTTTCTGTATACACCCCATATGCCTTCTTTTCTTGGATTGCCCAATGAGCTGCCATCAAAGTTCAATTTCATCTTATTCCCAGCTGGAGGTCTCCATTCCATCTGCACTTTTTCTACAAGTCTACCCGATTGCGCCACTACAGTCCAAGCCCTTAAAATGTCATTGGTTGAGAACTCACAAAAGAGGTACAAGGTCTTTACCCAATGTGCTGTCCTAACTGTAATGATTTCAATCAGTTCCTCCTTAGACTTGCTCTTCTCACTGGATAATCTTTGATTTCTTTCTTCAATGGTCCACACCACCACTAATCTTACTGTCTACATAATCCTTCCTCTCTTTTTCTGTTGCCTCAAGAAGCTGGAGTTGAACAACCCTACCAACCTCCTGTAGGTTGAACCCATCTTCAACCAAAAAGAGAGCAAAAGTATTCCCAAATTCAATATACAAAGGAATAGGAAAATAATAAATGAGGAAGAGGCAGCTAGAGAACTTTTTGCCTCTCTTCTTGTTGCTCTCACTTCTCTTCTTTCTCTCTACAGTTCATTTTTTCTTTCTTATACATCAATTTATTTTATTTTTTGAATTTCTACTGTTTTTTATGTCATTTTATTTCTGTTGTCTTTCTTTTTTAGATTTTTAGCTGCTAATTTTTATTTTAAACAAAATTTTTGGTTTGCAGCTATCCAACTCTATAGTTGTATCTACGCGTGGAGATTGTGCCTTCACAACTAAAGCACAAGTTGCACAATCAGAAGGTGCATCTGGCTTAGTGGTGATAAATGACAATGAAGGTAGTATATTTCTTTCTTTCCTTTCTTTTAATAAAAACATAACAATAATTTTCCAATGTGTAGACCAAACCTGTTATAAATAAGAGGATTTGACATCCTCGTAAATAAAGCCAATGAGTTCTTGTTAGCTTCCCAGGAAATAGGTATTTGTCCCTCCTWGTAGACATATAATCATTTTAATTTTATTTCAATGCTAGATACCAGCATCACAGGATTGACTACCTTGGCAGTCCCTCAAAGGGACAAAATGTAAACAAGGACTTTTGTGCTAACATGGGTTATGATGGTCTTACATTATGTTGTCCTTTTGTGCTTTAAGATCTTTGGGCCACTTTTGTGACACTAGTATTATTGGCCTATGTCATGTTATCAGCTGAATTGGGTTTCTTATCTAGGTCAGTTCACCTAGCCAAGTGGAGGAACACTGCAACCAATCCAGCTATTCATTGGATAGGGATTGCCATGTTTTCATTCTCCTTGTCCATGTCCACCCTAACCCTTGTATTGGAGTATTGCCATGACATTATCTCATTCAAAGTTACAATTTGTTATCAGTAAAATCCCACAGAAGGGTTGCTTCTGGACATGTGGCAAAGGTTTTGGGATTGGAATTTTCTCCTTGAGCATGGTGTGGTGAGAGGAAGACATCATCTCAAGTTGGAAACGTCCTAGATTTTGTATATTTGTTCTTCTGTTCATTAGTGAAAGTATCATTGCTGATCCCTAAAAAAWTGGAACCTTTCTGGATCATTAAAATAGTACGTTTGAGAAATTTCTTGAGAACTGATTCTTTAATGTGGGACTCTTCATTTAAGTTTATTTTACATCTTGGATGTTACATCTTAACTTTGTTTTCTGTCCTCCCCAGAACTTTATAAAATGGTGTGTTCTGGCAATGATACATCTCTTAACATTATCATTCCTGTTGTGATGATTCCAAAGTCAGAAGGAGACACTATAAAGAAACCAATGGAAGCTGGTAGAAAAGGTAATAACTTGATTGGTTTTAGTTGCCATTTGTCATATTGTGGTTTGTTGGTTTTCCATGAGAAGAATTCTTATCCATTTGGAGATTCTTTTGTATTGCCTAATTCTTTCTAAATTTCATCCTATTCGTTAGTTCTTGGATCAAGATAGAAAATTTTATCCTCAACTTTGCAAATTTTGGTGGTTGGCTTCCAATCTCCTACGTAAATAGTCTTGCAGAAAACCATGGATGTTAAATGCATAACCGAATTCAACTAGGACATCAGGGGGGATCAAAAAGTTCAGGTAAGCTACCAGAAATTTCTGGCACTAAAAAAGGGATATTCTACCTACTGAATGAAACCAAACTCAAATGGTGATTATCAAGTCCAAATTCCCAACAGACTAGAAGATATTCAAGGAAGACCGAAGCTGTCATTTGAAATTTCCATTTTGAGCAGATATGAAAATATGATATTTCACTCCTTAAAACTGCACATAAAGTTTCCGAAAAATGTTTAAAAGACTTCTCAAAATACCTCTTATTAAATCCCCATTCGAAACTGATCTCTATGCTCAGGTGTAGATGCTTCCAACTAAACCCTAGTTCTCCAAAACATCCCAGACTAAGCAGTTTAGCCCAGCTCTTTGAGCCTCAGAATTAGTCTCTTGTTCTTCAACTTGAATCATCCAAACAACCTTCATACACTTGCTCTGATACCATGTTACCCTTCTAGAGTTTCATGCATGGGACAAGGAAGAAAAAGAAGAGATATATACAATTACTTAACTGCCCAGCCAGGAAACAATTACTCCTCCGAACCACGAAGAAAAAGGGGAGAAAAAAGGCTCCAAGGTGGAGGGGCATAAAGAGAGGGGAGCATAAGTTTATCAGAGAAAGAATGGAAGGAAAAGAAAGAAAAAGAAGAAGAAGGTTGAAAAACTTAAATGTAACATAAGCTATGGAAGGGAGGATAATAGGAGAAAGGAGAGAAGAAAAGGGGACTTTTCAGGGACTCTTAGAATGGTTACATGAAGATAGTTGGTTCTTTGCTCCTTCATGGGGATCCTTTGGGGATTCTAACAATTTGGAAAAATGAGGTTTTGGGTTGTAATTAAACAATTTTTAGTCTCTTTAAAATTTAGAAATTCTTCTGATGGGAATACTTGGACTCTAACTAATTTCTATGGCCCCAAGTTATACAAAGATAGAGATTTGTTCTAGGAGGAGTTGTCTTCATTAGAGGAGTTTGGGAGGGCCCTTGGTGTTTGGGGATGATTTCAGTGTTATTAGATTTTTGAGTGAATCAAATAACACAACCCAAAGCATTAGGACTAGCATGAGAAACTTTAACAATCTTATAGATGCTTTGGGATTGAAAGAACTTCCCTTACTACAAGAAGACTTGGACAAACTTTCAATCCCCCCCCCCCGATCTCATAGATTGGGAGGAATTATGGGGGACCTTAGCTTCAAGAGCCTTGCCTAGAGTTACCTATGATCATTGTCCTATTTGTATTGAGGGGGAAGTCTTATTGGGGACCTTAGCTTCAAGAGCCTTGCCTAGAGCAACAAGGTGACTTTGTGCCAATTTAATGAACCATCAGACTTCAACTTGACCATGTAAATCTAACAACTTTCAATGATAAAGTAACAACTTGACCATGTAAATCTAACAACTCGAGTGTCATTCTCATGTCAAGTATGAATTTTTGCATTTATGGCTTCTCTCCAATGTGAAGTGGTAATAGCCTACTAATATGAGTAGAGAATATCTATGGTAGATAACGTAATAGACAATGAACTATGGTTTGAAGGAAAATCGTAGTGGTTGGGGGTCTAGAAATATGAGAAAAATAATGAAGAGATTTGGTAGAAATATAAACAGAATTTGAAGGAACATAACTTATAGGAGCATTTGTAGAGTGATGATCTGGACCAGGGAGGAAATGGGGTTGTAGGCGTAGGATCTAGGTCACATAACCTTTTTTGCAAGAGAAGACGAGAAAATCCTTCACACCAGTTAGAGGTGAGACAAGTCTGGAGGACAACCAAACAATTTCTAGAAATGAGACATATTAGTAAGAATAAAAGAGGAAGAACAATCTATATCTATACTACTTTAAAAAGTACGAATGGCCTTAAGAATATTTCTAGAATTTTCTAAGGACAAAATTTACCCCTTTGTATTTATATTTATTGATAAAAAATGAGGGCAAATAAGGTAATCATTCTTGATATTAAATGAGTTGAAAAGAGGTAATTTAAAGATATTCAATGCATTCAATTCTCTCTCAATAAATCCAACATTTAAGTTATTAAATTGCATTCATGTTCATTGAATCATATATTTAAGTCATTTATGTTTCTTCTCATCATTAAGTTCTATTAATTAAATCCATACATAATAAATTAATAATTCCAATAACATAAAAGTTTATACTTTTAAAATCTACCTAGCAAAAATATCGTTTTCATCTAGGTTGGTAAGAAATTAAATCATTTTGGGTCAAATTGGTTAATCCATGTTGCCACGATTAAATAATAAAATTAAAAAAATAGATAAAATTAAAAAATAGAATTTAAAAAAAAATGGGAACATTTTTAACTTACATATTAAACAATAATAAGTATGATAAATAAGAAATGTTTTTATTAATGGTGGAAATGGAATGTAAAATTTAAAAACTAGTTGGAAATAATAATATTTTCCTATTCTCTCAAATTAAATCCTATATTTAAGATATATTTTTCTCATATATATACTAAAATTATATATACTAAAATTATATATTTTCCTATTCTCTTAATCTGTATTTATTATATAATTATATATACTAAAATTATTATTTATTATTTTTGTGATAAATATATTTTCAATGATTATGTATAAATTTATTTTGTTTTGTTATTTAACAGAAAACTTTCAATAATTATTGGAGATTAAACTACTATTATTGAAAATTTTACATTTAATTTATTGTACTTGTTGTATTTATTGTATTTTTGTTATAACTTANGAGATTTACTATTTATTGACTAAGTTAATATATTTTTAGTACTTATTGTATTTTTTCATTATCAATATATTTTCAATAATTGTGTATTTTCACTATAAATTTTCAATAATTRTTGGAGATTAAAYTRTTGTTATTTATTAGAGATGAGACTATTAATTTAGTTGAAATTGTGAGAGTTCATGAGTAGGTTCGGTTCGGTCGTAGGCTATTTGGCCAACCAAATTGACATAGTCAGGTTAGGGAGTTGGTCATCAGAAACTGGCTGACCTTTTGTGAAAATTGACCCTCTCAAGTTGTATCGGTTTGGGTTGATTTTTTGGTTTTGTTAGTCGATTCAAAAGATTTAAACTTAGAAATTAAATTAAATTTTAAATTTTATAGTGTAATTATTAAAAAATAAATTTAAAAATTAGATTTATGATATAAAACATATTAGAATAAGAAATATGGGAAAGTTCCCACTTTTTATATTAAAAATTATATTTAAAATATAAAATATTAATATATATCCATGGTTTGGTCATTCGATTTTGGTAGGTTTACAAATGGCCAAAGTGAAACTTATCCAACTTGGTCGAATTGGGAAATTTTTGAACCAAAGCCAACCTAAAATACTAGAAAATCGACCAATTCGGATTTAGTTGATCGGGTTGGTCGGTTTCATCAGTTTAATGAATAAACCTAACTGAAATTAATTATTGTTATTTTGTATTATAAAAAATTATTAAAAGTAGTATATAAAATAGGAATAATTATTAATTATTTAAAATGTTGAAAATATAAAACAATTGTATACTCTTGTGTTTTTCTATTAGGGTCATTTACTAGAACACACCTTATAGTTTTACATATTTRYTTAAACMTAYCTTATAGTTTTCATTTTACTAAAACATCCCATATATTTTACAACTTATTTACTTAATCAACCTTTCATTAAGGAGTGTTTGTTTTTTCATTAAGCCCATGATTTTTTATTCCAAAAATACCCTTAATATGTTTTTTGTACAAAAAACAAAATTGACCAAATATAGCCAATAGAGTGGTTGCTCGTGTCTTATATTAAAGGCAAAAATGGTAATTTTATTTTAATTTTCTTTTGATTAAATTTATTTAAATGAATATTAAGGTCAACATTGTGTTTAGTGGTGTTTTATTAAATACATTGCAAATTATAAGTGGTGTTTTAGTAAAATTCTAATTATAAGGTAGATTTTAGTAAATCCATGAAATTATAAGGGTATTTTAGTAAATGACCTTTTTTATTATTTATCTTTCGCTTAATAAATCCCATGCATCACATGGGTCCTTGCTAGTTAATTAAGAAAACAATGGTACTAGTATCCTCTACCCAAAATGAAGTAGCATGAAATTATAGTAGTAGGGTTCTCACAACACTAAATACATGCCCATTCTTACACTTTACCACTCCATTATGTTGAGGTGTATCTAGACAATTTCATTGAACTTGTTTCACATGGCTCTTCGAATAGGACAAAAAGTCTTTATCAGTGTATTCTCCCCCTGAATATGAGCTGAGAATACGCATGTGAGACAGGAATCGAACTCGTACCATAACATGAAATAGCTGAAATGTAAGATAGAATAAATCCATATGTACCTGATGCAATCATCAATGAACAAAACAAAGTACTTGTATCCAAATTGAGAAATAACAAATGAAGTACAAACATCACTATGTATAATTTCAAATGGTGAGGTAGCCTACTTAGATGTGTGAGGAAAGGGTATAGTGCGAATTTTACTTAAACAACAAGAAACACACGGTGTATCAAATGTATGTAAAGAAGGAATTTTATTTTTAATGGAACTAGAGTCTAAAAAAAATTTAATCTTTCAAAATGTGGATATCCCAAATGTTTATGCCATAAATCCCAAACATTATTCCTTTGCCCAACAAAAGAACTAGAAGAGGATGAACTAAAATAAGTTGATGATGTTGATGCCTGAGAATTCTCGAACTCCAATGCAAATAGACAGGCC